TACTGTCTGACCAAGAAAATGAATTGGCTAGCCTTAAAATTAAACAATTCAATGTCAATTCACTTCATAATACTGACTTTGATATTCAGGCTACCACTTATGTAGCTGGATTTGTAGTCAAAAATTGAATGGAATTGATTGCGAAGTGTGTTTGGGCAATTTAAGAACAGATATTGTAGAACCTCATCATAGTTTTACACATTTAAAGGAATATGATGCAAAAAGACGTTTGATTTATGCGCAAAAAAGCAATCGTTCAATTTTTGGGTATTATTCATGATTGTATTATCAAATTCTACCAAAAACTAATTTTATATTTACACGAACATGTTAAGTTTGCATGGTTCACTTGCCAAGAGCATAAATCAGATGTTTTTTTGAAATTATTGAAAATCTGGGTACCTACCATTGTAAGAAAATATAAGGATATTTCTAAGAATTTAAAAAAGTAATATCTCTGTTAATTTTTAATTTTAAGATACACACTGCGCCTTTATTTTTTGTTTGTTTTAGTTATTCCTGAGTATGGAGATTTTTGGAATGGATATTGCAACTACAATGGACTGAAATAGATGGGTAAAAGGATAGTAAAGTGGGTCAGTGCCAGAGTTGCCTAACCAATAAAATTTCAAAACAACTGGTCTTTGTATATTGTTTTAAAATCATTTCCATACTTGCCAAAGTTACCTATTCCTTAAAATTATGTAGATCATGACAAAATTAAATACTTATTTGTCAAATGACTATTTTTAAATTTTCCTTAAACTTTAATCTCAACTTACTTTTGATTAATAATTTTTTAGCAACTCTGGCACTGAACACCCAACACCCAAAAATTTATTTATATATTATTATTAGAGATATTTAAAACAATTGTGGTATTTATAGGTATGACTGTTTTGTGTGGTTTTTAGTTATTTAAAAATATTTATTGTGTTTTTTGAAAATTGTATCCAGTTTATTGTTAATAAAATATTTGTCACATTGTTATCTTACATTTTTATTCTGCAATCATTTTGTGTGTTTATTGTGAATATGATGTTTAATATAATGTAATGACATAGTTACCTATTCTAAATAAAATAAACTTATAACAAATGTTTTTATTTTTCATTTAAAACAAGTGACATTTTCCGTTTTTCAGCATTTACTTACAATAAAAATTCATTTTACTTAGTGTTTGTTTCAATTATTGTAAGTAAAAGCTGTAAAATCGGAAAATGTTACTTGAAATTTCTTCAAATTTCATAAATTTTGAAGCCCGCCATTTTTTAAATCGCTTTACTTAGTAGTTTTCTACTTTACCGACGATACCGAATTATAGTTCATCATAACGCGCTCAGCGCGCCACTGTCGAGGTCAAACAAACTTGTTACCAACTATTTACAGGGGAACTGGCTACCCTGGTCGGTAAGATCGTGTATGAAAGTGTGTGTTTTACCGTTGTTTTACTGAAGGCAAGTAGTAAAATATTTTATTTTTCTGAAGTTTGATATAAACTGTAAACTATGTACTGTTTTCAAGAAAAAGAAATTAATTTTAAGCACTAAAATCCCTCTTACAATGTTTTTGTCAGTTACGCCTTTTCTTTGATATTTTTTTCGTCAGCGTATTCGCCATGCTTCCATTTGAAAATTATTGAGCATTTAATACAAATTTTAAAGTCTTCATTCTAATAAGTTTCGAAAAACAACTGAACAACGGTAACACTGTTTATGTAGAATTTTCAAAATCACATTTAATAATTTATTTAAATCTTTTGATCTCTCAAAATAAATGTTTGAATTTTCGATTTATGTGTCGCTTACGCCTTTCTTAATTTGCTATTTCTGATTGTTTAACGTACTTAATTGGTTTTAGAAAAGTGGGTTATTATTATTAAATTTACTGGTTACTAAGCTAAAATGCATCGGTAGGAAATTACTTACCGTTCTGTTTTTGACATACAAGTAAATTATTTGTTATTTGTAAAATAAATTGTCGTATAAAAAATAGTTTAAGCATCTGAAGAGTAAGGAGTTTATCAATCTTCTCCATAATTAGCGTTGATCGGTAAACTGTTCTTACTGTTCTTGATACTTAATATTATACTTTTGTTTTTAGATGCCGTCGCGAGGACTGAAGTGCTTGGAATTGGTCCGCAATTCAAAAACAAACAAAAAAGAAAATAATACTGATGGAATAACTATCACCAATGCGAGTGATATTCTTCAAAAAGCTTTGCAAAACTATGTGTTCATTTTAGAGCCTGAAAATGAAGTTGAAACCGAAATTCATATTTTGTATGATTGCACAATCGATGATCAATATGAAATTTCCGATGTTTTGAAAGATCCAAGAGTTGATCAATGAGTAATTTTGATATAACCTAACTTAACTAGGGTTGCAATCTTAAAAACTAAAGTTCTACTCGCTAGTATACCTTAGGGTCTGATAACTTAATTACACTAAACTAACGTGCAACACTAAACTACACAATGCTTTGCTTTGTTATTAACACAATCACTTGGCTAACTCACAAGGTTTCATTCTCTTGAGTCTTCTTGTCAGGTTCGTGTTGTCAAGAAGCTGGATCGCCTCAACGTTCACATGTTGGTGGAGCCGTTATTCGTGACTCCTAGCGAATCTGGTGATAGTCTGGTCAACAGTGTCCATCTGAAGGTCTCGATGAAGGTTGCTGTTTCTAATGTACCAAGGAGCATCGACAATGTTCCTCAATACTTTGTTCTTGAATCTCTGGATTATTAGAATATTACTGTAGCTGGCACAACCCCAGAGCTGAATGCCATAGGTCCAAATTGATTTGAGAACTTGTTTATATAATAGAATTTTGTTGTATGTAGATAGGCTGGAATGCCTACCAAGTAACCAGTACATTTTCTTAAATTTTATATCTAACTCTTGTCTTTTTTTTTAACATGGACCTTCCAGCGAAGTCTTGCATCTAATGTAATACCTAGATATTTTGCTGAGTTAGCATGAGACCTGAGCATTATTTATGTTAAGTGGTATTCTTTGACCATTTTTGTTAGTAAAATTAATATGAACAGATTTGGTTTCGTTTAGTTTAATATGCCATCGTTTGGTGCACTTATTTATTTCATTAACTGATGTTTGTAGTTTATTTTCAGCCTCTTCATGATCTTTGCCTATCGCTAGGATGGCAGTATCATCTGCAAATGTAGCTATTGTGTCTTGTTCTAGTTGGGGTATGTCACAAGTGTATAACAGATACAAAGTGGGTCCGAGGACGCTTCTCTGTGTTACTCCTACTTTAATTTCTTTCAATTCAGAGCATGCTTCATCTTGTTTTACTCTAAAGAATCTATCTGAAATGTATGAATTCAATAGCTCTGAGTATGGCTGTGCAAGTAGCACATTCAGTTTATGTTTTAAGCCATCATGCCATACTTTATCCAAAGCCTGCGCAACATCGAGGAAGATGGCTAAACATATTTCTTTGTTTTCTAATGCTTTTTCAATCGCATTTGAGATTCTATGAACCTGATCTATAGTTGAATGGTTTTCTCTAAAGCCGAACTGGTAATCTGGAATAAGTTTTCTTTCTTCAATGATGGTTTTTAGTCTTCTTATTAGTATTTTTTCAAATAGATTCGATATTATAGGCAATAGAGATATTGGCCTATATGACGAAACTTCGTTCGGCGGTTTTCCTGATTTGGGGATCATAATGACTTCAGCTACTTTTCACAATCTAGAGACATACCTTAGTTTGGATGAGGCATTGAACAGGTGTATAAGTTTAATTATGGCTTTCTTCGGAAGTTGTTTTAAGATTTCTCCTGTAATTAAATCATAGCCAGGAGCGTTCTTAGGATTAATATTTGTTTTTATATCTTCTGCAATTTCCTTTGGAAAGGTTGGTCTGATAATTGAGTCATCCCTCAGAGGAGCCAACATCGGTAATTCTTCTCCTTCATTTGGTTTGAAGGTGTTTTCTAAGTGTTCTGCAAATCTATTAACTTTTTGTAGATTATTTCTAGCCTGTATTCCTGATTGGAGCATTCTGCACAGTGGGCCTTTTTAATCGCTTTGTGGCTTTTCATAGAGAATAAATAATAAGTGGATTTATCGTTTGTCAACTCACTAAGGTACTCACAAATATATTCGTTTTTGATTTGTTTTATCTCTCTTTTTAACTGCTGAGTGGCGTTGTTAAGTTTGGTTGTATCTGATGGAGCTCTGGTCTGATGTCATGTCCTCCTTAGTTTTATTTTTGCAGAGATTAGGTCCCTTATTTCTTTAGGATAGTTATTTCCTGTTGTTCGCTGCATAATAGGTGGCGTATTATCCCATGCTGCTTATTGTATGTTGGACACAAGTAGTTTTACTTCTTAATCTAGCTGTGCTTTTGTTCTTAAGGGAAATGAAAGATTGATTTTATTTTCAAGGTCGTCTGAAGCTTTATTAGTCTAGGAGCGCTTTCCTTTTGGATAATGGTGTCACTAAGAGTGAGAAGAATAGGCGAATAATCTGAATTCATGTCCCATGCCTCATCAACTTGGATGTAGTTTGCTGAAATATTTCGTACAACAAAAATGTCTATTAGGTCGGGTATTTTGTTTCTATCTGTGGGCCAATAAGTTGGTTTGCCAGTTGAATGCGACTCACATTTTAACTGTGTCATTGCAACTTTTAGATTTTTACCCTTAGTTGTTGTTAGTCTGGAGCCCCAATGGGTGTGTTTTGCATTCAAGTCGCCTCCAATGATAAATATCTCATATTAAAGTGACTCCAGTCAAAAAACAAAGATTTGTGTAGTTGAGATATTATGTAGTCACAAGTTGTTCGTATTGCTTGAATTACTGGACTCAGTTCCATCACGTGGATTAGGAATATAGTTTGAACTTAGTTTATTTGCCTTTCGATGAGATACCCAATACCTGTTTTTTCGATGAATTAGTGATTAATGGTTTCTTATCGGATAGGTAATTTGCAGTTAAACTCCAATATTAGAATAGTCATTTCAAAACACTTACCACTTTTCCATTCAATAACCAAGTAATATCGGCATATGGATATGAAGGTGGTGAGATACATTCTGCATGGACATATTCTCCAGGTCTAAGATAGTTATTCTCTACGACAAGAGTTGGTTCGCCATGTGGTAATCCTACAAAAAATTTTAATTGTTAAACACTATACTGGACAATATTTATTAGAGGGTTATTGCAAGTTCACTTAAGGTCAGTCACTATTAGTGTCGCTCTTATTTTGACATCTAAGCATGCGCAGATCGTCACTTTTAAGACTGACTTTATTAAAGATTGTGCCTGTTCTTAATAGAGAGTTATTGCAAGTTCACTTAAGGTCAGTCACTATTAGTGCCGCTCTTATTTTGACATCTGAGCATGCTCAGATCACTAACTTTAATAAAGATTGTGCCTGTCCTTAATATAGAGATATTGCAAATTTCTATAAAGCCAGCCACTAATAGTGACAGTCCAATAAATTCTATAATAGTACCTAATATTAAAGAGGCATTAGAAATTATAATTTTAGAAGGCTTAAATGACGATTATATTAAATATTTAATATTAAAAAACTTCTAACAGATACGAATGTCAGCAAGCGCATCCGAAAGTTATAAAGTCGCCACTACCTGCTGCCCTTAAACATCCACAATTAAGGACAGGCACAATCCTTAATAAAGTCAGTTTTAGAACATAAACATCTGCACATGCTTAGATGTCAAAATAAGAGCAACACTAATAGTGACCGACCCTAAGTGAACCTGCAATAACTCTCTAATGCGCTAGTTCAGTGATGATGTAATTACGGTTCCACTGACAATTAAAGTGACAGTAGATTTTTTGAGTGCGTTTTGTTCGTTTTGTTAACCTAAATTATATCGTTTTTTTCACTTTTATAAATATATTCCTAAAGTAAGTAGATAGCATGTATCAAATATACAATCGTTTAGTTACCAATTACATACCTTTAAACTATTTTTTATGACCTGTAAACAATATTTTGAAATAAAATAAAAACGGTAAAAACGTATATGTCAAATTTATTGATGTTTTTGTTAAAAGTTTGGTTACAATTAAATGTCAGTGGAACCAAAATGACATCACACTGAACTAGCGCATTGTGGATGTTTTAGAGTAGCAGGTAGTGGTGACTTTGTAGCTTTCGGGTGCGCTCGCCGACATTCGTATCTGTTTGAAGTTTTTTTTTTAATATTAAATTATTTAATATCATCGTCATCTAAACCTTCTAAAATTATAATGTCTAATGCCTCTTCAATATTATGTACTATTATTGACAACAAAAAAGTTAAACTGTTACTTAAAATTTTTAAAATGAGGTTAAAAATATGTATAAGGACATCGACTCTAATGTCAAAGTTTCTGGTTTGCAATAAGTCTTATTTTAGCATTGAATTTATTTGCCTCTAATTACGTTTACTATTAGTGGCTGATGTTATAGAAATTTACAATATCTCTCTATTGTCAATATAGTTATAAAAACTTATTATTATGGATCTACCGTTGTTGATAAATAAATTTAATAGACAAAGTGTATTTTTCCTTTTACAAATTGTCCTATTAGGCTTTTCAACGACCTGTCAAAATACTGCCAGTGGAAACTGACAGTTTAATTATGGTAACCCTGTGGGCCTGTTGTCAATGATACATGTATTGATTGCTCTAAGAGGGTCTTTTACGATATATAAAAAAAATAATAATAATTACCTACATTTTTACTTCAAGGCATAAGCTTTTATTTATTTTTAACAACCTGGATGATCAATCTATATAACTATCTATATGACTGACCCTGTCAAATCACCAGGCCCACAGTGTTGTCATATCTATGAAAACTAGAGAGAAGGAGGCGAATCGGAAATGGTCAAATTTCAAATTTCCGTTCTTCTTTTTATAAAGTTCCCGAATATTACTGTAGTTGGAATGTCTAATGACAGCGCAATCAATTTTCTATGTAAGTCAATGTAAAATGAAGTGATTTTTAAAAAAAATGAAAAGAATCAAAATGTATTATGAATAACGTATGCAGTACTAGCGTCCATGCGGTTAATTATAGAAGCTCAATTAACATGCGTTTTTTGGGACCGTATTTTGAGTATGCCGATTCGTCTCTTTATCTCTAGTCTGCATAGTCATATCAAAACCTAAATGATGTCAGTTTCCTGTCTTCACCTACTAGCAACCATTTTGTTTGGGATGCCTATAATACTCCGTGAAGTATAATCTACTAAGAATGTAAATGTATCTAAATAATTTACTTACGAATTACAGCAAGATCTTTAGATTCCATGTGCAAAAATAGTCCTTCATTTGTAGTCACTTGACACCTGTACCTTCCAGCTGTATTAGTTGTAACATTCTTCAGTAAGACTATAGAAACGAAACTTCTGTAATCCTAAAAATAAGGAAACAATAATGAAAAAGTAAGTTAACTGAACTTAAGCTTACATCGTTTGTGATCAAATCTTCAACGTCAACTCCTTCAAATAAAGTTATCGTGGGATCTTCATTAGGTGTGTATCTGTAAAATTCTCTATTTCCTTTCAACCATTTAACGCCGTTTTTATTGGCCTTCTCGAAATTAAACTCACATTTTAACTTAACATTTTCTCCTTCATTCACTAGTGTTGGTACTGTCAAAGTTACACGTCTTGACGATTGTCCTGCAAATTTAAAATGTACGTAAGAGTAGTGCGGTAAGTAAGAATTTTACAGTAAACGAGTGCAGAAAAAGAGGGGAGAAGAGGAAAGAAGGAAATACAGTCTTCCATAGAGTTTTTTGAATATATTTCAATAAGAATCAGAATTTACAATTCTATTGGGTTATTTTGATGACGTGCGACTAATTCTAAAATCCGGGGCCGGTACGCTTTAAGTACGTCGGAATTTGAAAAAAAAAAATTGAACAATAAAAAGTATTCATTTTATATAGTAAATTAAAAACAAAAAAAATGCGGATAATCCACTATTTTTTGAGAAAAATTTAATCAAAGTTACAATATTTTGACGTTTCTTACCTAAGATTTTCCAATTTATATGGCAGTGTTGCCAAGAGATTCAGTTAGTAACAAGATGTCCTTTTATTTTAAACACGATTTAAATAAAAAAAATAAAATAATAAGTTTATATTTTGTAATTCTAAAAAAAACATTCGAAATAAATGAAAAAAAAAAAATAATTTAAAAAAACTACAACTACTAAAATAAATTAACTACAACTAAAAATTAATATTTTTCACTAATTTGAATTAATAAATTTTTCATTTTATGTTTTGAAGTTTTTCCATAAATTTCCTCCCACATAAACTGGTCGATATATTCAGGTAGAAAGGGACTGGACATTACGCCTAAACGTCGTAAATACTGTTTAAGTATACTCCAGTACCCTTCTACCTGATTAGTACAAACACCAGTTTCAGGATCTTTAAAATGTTTTGAATGGTTCACTGTTTTATGAGTGTAACCCATATTGGAGAGATTATCGTATGCCCTCCATTTGTCCGTCCATATTTCGGAACCTGGACGAACATGGTCTCTAATGACTTTTTCCAATGTTGGACCAGAGCGATTAGGAACATATTGAATGTATCCCCTTTTTAGTGTTACGTCATAAATTCCTATTACCCATCGCTCTGGTACAACTCGTCCTCTGTTGTATTTTCTTTTTGTTATAACTGATTCATCTATTTGAACAAGATGTCCTTCGCCACTTATAAATTAATATAAATAAAATATGTTCTAAACCTTCTATGAATTACAAGAATAAAAAACCTACCTAACATAAAAGGCTCATTTATCAGTTTCCATGATAAAATATTACGAATATAACGAAATATTTGTAAAACAGACGCCTTTCTAATGTCAAGTGCTGCTGCTGTAACTCCTACACGACTACCTGTTGCCCAATACCACATTAAGAGTAACACTATTCTCACAGGTAGTCTCATGTTTTCAAAAAATGAACCACTTACACAAGAATAGGATTTTTTACATCGTGTGCAAAAATTGTGGGACCCAAGTATTTTCCCAGCCTGTTTTTGGATCGTGCAGGTTCTTCTGCAATTTCTTTGCTTGCATCTAAATGGACTTTTTATTAAATTTTTCTCTTGTAAATATAACAATAAATCTTCATCAGACTTATTATAAATCATCATAACATCCATAATATTATTTAATTCCATTTTAAAATTTAATTTAGTTAATTAGTACTTAACGCGGAATTCAAAGAAAATTTAAATTTGACGTTTAATTTCTTTTTATATGATTTCGTGTTTTATGTGCGAACTCGACACGTTACAATAGAGAGAGACATTACATAAGAATCGCAGTCTGTCGAACAAAGATGCCCTTTTCTTGAAAATTTAATTTTTTTTACAAAAGATACATTTTGGGCTTTAGGAAGGAAAGTACTTTTTAAATATTCCACCGGAAACCCCATGAATTAACTTTTCTTTTTATATATTAAGGAATTATGAGGATCATTTATGTAAACTTATTCTTTAGACTTATATCTGTCATACTACATCTTTACAAATGCGCGGTGTTGCCAAGTGCTCAATTATTATCAACGAAATAGTATTATATGCTCCCTTCTTCTGTCTACAGCTTAAGAGCACGCTACAATCGTCCCACTCAACTTCTAACTACTGCAGAAGGGAGTGGGCGCGCATTTTTTTCATCTAGATCATAATAACACTTTATGCTCGTCCCACCCACCGTCTAACTACTAAAGAAAATAGCGAGCGAAGCGAGCGCGCCCGGCCGACATTTCGAAATTCGCGCGAATTTCGAAATGTCGGCCGGGCGCGCCCTTCTTCTATCTACAACATAAGAGCACGCTATACTCGTCCCATCCAACTTCTAACCACTGCAGAAAATAACGAGCGAAGCGAGCGCGCCCGGCCGACATTTCGAAATTCGCGCGAATTTAGAAATGTCGGCCGGGCGCGCCCTTCTTCTATCTACAGCATAAGAGCACGCTATACGCGTCCCACCCAACTTCTAATCACTGCAGAAGAGAGTGGGCGCGCATTTTTTTCATATAGATCATAATAACACTTTATACTCGTCCTACCCACCGTCTTACTACTAAAGAAAATAGCGAGCGAAGCGAGCGCGCCCGGCCGACATTTCTAAATTCGCGCGAATTTCGAAATGTCGGCCGGGCGCGCCCTTATTATATCTACAGCATAAGAGCACGCTATACTCATCCCACCCAACTTCTAACCACTGCAGAAGAGAATGGGCGTGCATTTTTTTCATCTAGATCATAATAACACTTTATACTCGTCCTACCCACCGTCTAACTACTAAAGAAAATAGCGAGCGAAGCGAGCGCGCCCGGCCGACATTTCTAAATTCGCGCGAATTTCGAAATGTCGGCCGGGCGCGCCCTTCTTCTATCTACACTATAAGAGCACGCTATACTCGTCCCATCCAACTTCTAACCACTGCAGAAGAGAATGGGCGTGCATTTTTTTCATCTAGATCATAATAACACTTTATACTCGTCCTACCCACCGTCTAACTACTAAAGAAAATAGCGAGCGAAGCGAGCGCGCCCGGCCGACATTTCTAAATTCGCGCGAATTTCGAAATGTCGGCCGGGCGCGCCCTTCTTCTATCTACACTATAAGAGCACGCTATACTCGTCCCATCCAACTTCTAACCACTGCAGAAAATAGAGAGCGAAGCGAGCGCGCCCGGCCGACATTTCGAAATTCGCGCGAATTTCGAAATGTCGGCCGGGCGCGCCCTTCTATCTATACCATAAGAGCACGCTATACTCGTCCCATCCAACTTTTAACCACTGCAGAACAGCGAGCGAAGCGAGCGCGCCCAGCCGACATTTCGAAATTTGCGGGAATTTCGAAATGTCGGCCGGGCGCGCCCTTCTTCTATCTACACCATAAGATCACGCTATACTCGATCCACCCACCTCCTAACCGACGTTCGGCCAGGCGCGCCCTTTTTCCATTTACAAGTACAGCTACATGCTGTAGTTGTCAGGATACAAGTGATACGAGCGTAGTGTGCTCTTAAGGTGTAGAAGAAAAAAGGGCGCGCCCGGTCTACGTTTCGAAACGTAGGACGGGCGAGCTCGCTTCGCTCGCTCTTTTCTGTAGTGTAGACTAAATAATGGTAAGTTACATTACTTTTCGTACATTCTCTGTATATACATTTCGACTTACACCTTAACATTACAAATTTCTCAAATATTTGTTAATTAAAACATATATTTAGTTCAGATAACATGGTCATTGTATTTAAATTTATTACCTATTTATTTTCTTCTATAATTTACAGATGTGTTTAATTATCTGTCTGGATCAAATGACCTTTTAAATATTTGAAATACTTTTTATTTTAAAGATAATAAATATTAAAGTAATTACAAAATAGGGTGTATCGATGTACATTTTAAAAAGGATGCAGCTGAAAATATCCTCCGAGTGACGTCACAGCTAACCCAGTAGATGTTGAACTAATTCGGATATCCTCTTTAATTGATAGTAGTCGTTGAATTTGGTTGGCTGCGTTGTCCAATAAATAAATTTCCTTATTTCAAAAGTGGAATAACACAAAGTAATTATGTTTAAGAGTTTTCGAAAAGTACATTGTTTATTACAGTATAGATGATCTAATATTTAATTATTATGCACTACAACAATTCAATCAAAACGGATAAATAAATCGTCGGATGTGACTGGAAATTAGAAATTAGGAAAGTTTTTTAGGAAGAACAATGAAATAAATTTAATCTAATTAATGCTTCAAGTGTTTGAAAATATTCCAAAAATAAGGTACTCTTTTATATTATTTCTTTTTCGTTGATTTTAATTGGATACTTGGCAATACCGCGCAGTTGTAATGTCTGAGAATAACAGATATAATTCCAATTCTATAGAATAAGTTTACATAAATGTTCCTCATAAGTCCCTAATATTTAAAAAATGTTAATTTATGGATTTTCTGGTTGTAAATTTGAAAAGGTCTCCCCTTCCTAAAGCCTAAAATGTAAGTTTTGTAAAAAATGGATTTTTAAGAAAAGGGCGTGTCCAATATTTACTCACAATTTTTTAAACACCAAAAATTATTATTAGACAGAAAATAAAATTTCAATGTGGCAACGTTGCAAATTACAAACTTGTGTAAGTGTTCTGTGCTTGTGTACTTTTGTGACTTGTCAACTTCAATTATAAAGGCGTCGACAAATGTTGGAAAGGAATTATAAATTAATTAATATATTTAACAAATGACATAATTTTTCGTATACAATTTTAGTTAAGATATAAAAAGTAAGTTACTTTAATATACTACTGATAAAACTTCGAAATTACCATATATGGGTAATAGGTAGAAACTGGATAGAACCCATATAGGTATAACCTATAAAATTGCAACTTTTAATTCAATTTTTCCGGATTAATAGTCAGTTATCCGCATTTTTTTATTTAGAAACTGTCTATTTGGAATACATTCTTTTTAATAGTACCAACATTTTTTCAAATTTCCGACGTACTTAAAGCGTACCGGAGCCCTAAAATCCTACAGATTTCTTCAGAAAGCTTTTTCAGTGAAAAGACCTCTTTCGCCTCATTTTCGGCTAGTCCCAGCTAGCACATAATCATCCCATCTACGTTACTCTATTGAAATTCCGTGATTATTAGACATGCAATGTATTTTTAATTTAACACAGGATAGGCCCAGTGCGATGTTTTATCCTTGTGCGAAATCATACTTATAACGGCTCTTTATAATATTATCAAAATCAGAATATTTTAATTTTTTTCATATCACAATTAGCCGGTTATATTTTCTATTAATTAATGACGTCACTTTAATATGGTTTAATAGTATATTAAACACCGAGGTGGGAAGAGTTTCATTTCTGTCGTAAGATTAGTTAGATCACCGAGACGCGAAGCGTCGAGGTTAGCTATGATCCCGAGACAGGAATGAAACTTCCTACCGAGGTTTGTATACTATATTATTTACAACCATCATATTTCGATCAAAGTTAATAAATCTCTGTTTCATTCTGAACATACCTAAAATATTACATTTAACGACAAATTACCAAGCGCGCGGTTTTCTCAGAATAATCAAGTAAATATATTGTTACTGTGATTACGGGGTAAATAACTGTCAGCAATATAAATAAATGTCTGATAAAACCGGATATTAAATTCGCGAATAATAAATATCAATAAGTAGTTTGTTGTATTTTAGTTCATTGTTGTTTTTTATTGTTTGCCATTAAATAGGTATTATAAAATTTGTCAAAAAAATGTGTTATTTTTTTAAATATAAAAAATATTCATCTAGAATAGATGAAATGAGGGCGGGAAGTGAGGGCGAGAAGTGAGGGCGGGAAGTGAGGGCGGGAAGTAGAGGTATGTAATGTGACACTTTCCAACCTTCAATGACATTAGTAATGACAACATTACATATATGGTTGTAAATAAACAATATTTTAAACCAATATGGTGGCTAAAAAACAGCTTATATTAGTTTGGTGTCTAAATAGATTCCTACGTATTTGACAAGCAGGGTCTGTCGAATTTCAATTTTTTTACATGTAGACAGGACAGCATTTTCTTTGCTTAATGTATTTTTTAACGTATTTTTATTTTCCACATTTTAGGATGTACTGAGTTAGACAAGAAAATAAAGATTCTTACCTTTGACTAATAAAAATCCTGAACTTGTTAGTGTGGAAGCAGGATAATCAATTTGACAGGTGTATACATCTTCAGTATCTGCCGTCGCGTTGTGCAATGTTACTTCACTTGAATTGGATTTTTGTTTCTAAAAGTAAATTTAATTAAACTACGAAAAGGAAATAATCAAAAGTTTTATTTATATTTTTTGTTTTGAAATAATTATTCTTACATTTTTTCAATTTAGAAAACTTCAAAGAAAAAAAAATTTACTCACCACTGAAAAGTTAATTCCAGGATATTTCTGTACTGCTATGTTAATTTCGATATCAGGTTCATATTTGTAAAATAATTTTCCATTTTTTTTCCATGAAACAGATTTCAAAGGTGCGTTATCTTTTGTAGGATTGTATGAACAAGACAATTTCACAGAGTCAGAAATTTTGACAATGGGCGGTATAACCATGTGAATATTTTTAGCTAAAAATAATTATTGATCAATAGTATAGAGGTTAGGGTGTATCATTTTTAAGCAACTTTTTTTTTTCAACTAAAAAACAGGCTAAAAACTTTCAGGAAGGTGAAAAAAGAAGCCTCTAAAAATTTGAGCTCTTAATATTATTATTTAGTGGTGCCTGTTCTTAACTTTCCATTTTCCATCTAAATAACATTTCTTATTTTTGTAGCTTCATATTTGAGCATTGTAAAAATAAAGTGAAACATTATTTTGGTAGGAAATTGAACGCTCTACAAAAAGTTCTATTATATTTTTTTCATAGAGTGAGCCGTTCTGAAGATATTCAAACTTAAAGTTGCAAATGTATGAAATTAGGACTTTTATTTTATTAAACTGATGACTTTTTTATGTCTTAAAAATTATTTTTAAGAAAACATCATTATTTTCATATAGAAAGAAAATAACGACGCACAGAAGACAAAAATTCACCAGAAATATTTTTAAACAAAAATATGAGTGACTTTGTTTCAAAACAATCATTAAAACTTTTTGACAAATTTGATTTGCCGTACGACTTTCTGGATGCAGATGTCCTAATTTGACCAGATAATGAAAGTTATCAAGAGAATTTGGAGTTTTTCGAAAAATTGAAAGTTGTCAATGACGTTGCAGGACATGGCGTCGCATTAGTAGAAGAATATAATAGATGCCTAACTAAAGATGAGGAACAATTTTAATATTTATTACAAGTGGTAAAGGAGATCAGACGAAAATATCCAAATTATAATAAAAAAATCTGATGTGTCCAACACATGACTTTCCTATCTAGTTATTACGTAAAAACAAAAAAAAATCAGAATTTTGCACATTTTGTCAAATTTCTCGAATACGGACCATTTCAGGAAATTTTGACATAAAACAAAAATTATAGAAAATAATATTAGAAGTAACTGTTAATTGAACAATTTTCTTCTCCAAACATAAATAACAGATATATTCCATAAAATATAAAAACGGTCTCCCATAAAGTACCCCCCCAGATGTTCCGACTTTGTCCAAAATCTAATCATTGCACGTCAGGCCGAAATAAACCTTAAGTTTAAAATTTAATGTTTTTTTCTATATCCGTTTTTGAGTTTTCTTCAAAATTCGAAATTTACACATTTTCTCAAATATCTCGAATACGGTCCATTTTAGAGAAATTATGTATAGAATAAAAATTATAGAGAATTATATTACAAACAACTTTTATTTGAACAATTTTTATAAAAAATTATTTTTTTTACATTTTGTCAAATTTCTCGAATACGGACCATTTTAGGAAAATTTTGCATATAACAAAAATTATAGATAATTATATTAGAAGTAACTTTTATTTGAAGAATTTTCTTCTCCAAACGTAAATAACAGATCTATTTCATAAAATATAAAAATGACCACCTATAAAGTACCCCCCCAGATGTTCCGACTCTGCCCAAAATCTAATCAGCTCATTGGACGCTGAAACAAAGCTTAAGTTTAAAATTTGGTGTTTTTCTGTGTATCGGTTCATGAGTTATGCGTTATACAGACACACACACAGACACACACACACACACACACACACACACACACACACACACACACACACACACACACACACACACACACACAGACATCATCGCGAAAATAGTCAAAACGGATTCAGGGGACCTCAAAACGTAAAAATCCGTCGAAAACTCGAGGTCGAAAAAAATCATGATTCCTATACTTTCCTTATATCTGTATACAGATAGGAAAGTAAAAACTTCAACAAATATAGTTACAACATTTAATTCTGATAAGACATTAAAATATCTATTAGTTTCAAAATTTTAGTATGCTAATTGTTAAAAAGTTTTTTTTAATCTATAAAATAATAATTTTTCTGAACCTAATTCATAATTACTTTTGTTTAACAGTTAATCAAATAATATATAAGATGTATTTTTTTTACTTTCCTATCTGTATACAGATATAAGGAAAGTATAGGAATCATGATTTTTTTCGACCTCGAGTTTTCGACGGATTTTTACGTTTTGAGGTCCCCTGAATCCGTTTTGACTATTTTCGCGATGATGTCTGTGTGTGTGTGTGTGTGTGTGTGTGTGTGTGTGTGTGTGTGTGTGTGTGTGTGTGTGTGTGTGTGTGTCTGTGTGTGTGTGTGTGTGTGTCTGTATAACGCATAACTCATGAACCGATACACGGAAAAACACCAAATTTCAAACTTAAGCTTTATTCTAGCGTCTAATGAGCTGATTAGATTTTGGGCAGAGTCGGAACATCTGGGGGGGTACTTTATAGGTGGTCATTTTTATATTTTATGGAATATATCTGTTATTTACGTTTGGGGAAGAAAATTTTTTAAATAAAAGTTACTTCTTATTTTATTATCTATAATTTTTGTTATTTACAAAATTTTCGTAAAATGGTCCGTATTCGAGAAATTTGACAAAATGTAAAAAAATATTTTTTTTTATAAAAATTGTTCAAACAAAAGTTGTTTGTAATATAATTCTCTATAATTTTTGTCCCATAGATAATTTCTTTAAAATGGACCGTATTCGAGATATTTGAGAAAATGTGTAAATTTCGAAATTTGAAGAAAACTCAAAAACGGATAAAGAAAAAATCAATAAATTTTAAACTTAAGTTTTATTTCGGCCTGACGTGAAATGATTAGATTTTGGACAAAGTCGGAACATCTGGGGGGGTACTTTATGGGAGGCCGTTTATATATTTTATGGAATATATGTTATTTATGTTTGGAGAAGAAAATTGTTCAAATAAAAGTTACTTCTAATATTATTATCTATAATTTTTGCCTTATGTAAAAATTTCCTGAAATGGTCCGTATTCGAGAAATTTGACAAAATGTGCAAAATTCTGATTTTTATGAAAATTGTTGAAATAAAAGTTGTTTGCGATATCGATCTCTATAATATTTGTTCATAAATGATTTTTTTTTAAATGGACCGTAATGGAAAAATTGTAGGAAAAGTGCTAAATTTAAATTTTTCAGTATTTTCATTTTCAATGAATATCTATAGAAAAATGTTTCGCGGTAGATGTATGTGGACAATGTATATATTTAGTTTATCCTCTAAACATTTATAGAGATGCTGCAATAGGTTGTACAAAATAACCGGAAAAAGCCTGTAATAACTAGATAGGAAAGTCATGTGTTGGACACATCAGATTTTTTATTTTAGCTTTCTAAAATATTAGCGCACAAAAACCAGTTTTCTGATTAAAAATAATTTTTAAGACATAAAAAAAGTCATCAGTATTAGTTTATCAAAATAAAAGTCCTAATTTCATACATTTGCAACTTTAAGTTTGAATACCTTCAGAACGGCTCATTCTATGAAAAAATAAATTAGAACTTTTTGTAGAGCGTTCAATTTCCTATCAAAATAATTTTTGACTTTATTTTTACAATGCTCAAATGTCAAGCTACAAAATTAAGAAAAAAGAAATGTTCTTTTCCATGTTATTTAGATGGAAAATGGAAAGTTAAGAACAGGCACCACCAAATGATAATATGAAGAGCTTAAATTTTTAGAGGCTTCTTTTTTCACCTTCCTGAAAGTTTTAAGCCTATTTTTTAGTTGAAAAAAAAAAAGTTGCTCAAAAATGAAACACCCTAATAGAGGTACAATGATGGAACGGCCAACAAGATAACTAGATTTGATGAATTGAGAATTATTAAGTCACTATGGCTGTGGTGTTAAAGAAAACCCAGTTAGAGCAGTATTTTCTTAAATAATTATTATAAATTTTACTAAACCTTTGTATAATTTATTTACTTACGTGTGTTTTCTAGTGGTTCAAATTGCAGTGTCTTAGAATTTGACATAGTAATAAAACGAGGTGCGTCTGTTGAAATTTCGCACGTATAATTTCCTTTAGATGCATGTGAAATATTTATTAATTTTACTGTGTTCATAGAACTCGATGAAAGCTAAAATATAACATTCGTTTTTGGTTTGGTCACATTGTAGTCCGTCAGATAGTGACCGATTTAGGTGTCCCATTTTCACATACAAGCCTCGAAGAGGGTTGAAAAGTACATCGATATTGAGTATAATAAAAGAAAATTTACGAGTAGCTCTTGGGGATAACAGATGGAAAATTCGATTATCTTTTTTAGAAAAATTTTTCGGTCCCACAATGCACTTATACATTTAGGTCATTTAAGAAAATATATTTTTCGGACTAGTGACGATGTTCGTTTTCATACATTCGATGGGCTTGTGTCGAAAAATCTGGTAGAAACTCGATTTTTCCTTAGAAGATTACGCCCTTATTTCTACCCTTTAGCCACTTGCAACATTAAAGCCTTTGGTTTTTCGAAGCCTAGTTCTATTAATTAATCATATAGTTAAAAGGCTTGCGTGGAAATATGGGCAACAAATAATCTTTCATTTTTGTTGGGGAAAATCGAATTTTCCATGTGTTATTCCCAGGAGTAACTCGTAAATGTACTGTCATTCTACTTAAAATCGATGTATTTTTCAATCCTCTTTGAGGCTTGTATGCGAAAATGAAGGACCTAAACTTCTCACTATCTGATGATCTATTAAGAACGTGTAAACAGTCAATTTTCTATAGATTAACTAAACGAAAACTTACATCTACATGTACATTCTTCACATTAAATATCTTTATTTCAGGCTTCTCGTTTGGGGTATACCTAAAGAATTCAGAAGTCCCTTTGAACCATTTAAGGTTATATAGGATATCATCTTCTAAATCATATTGGCAGGTAATTTCAATATCGTCTCCTACAGCTACATAGTCAGGAAATTTGACAACCACGTCTTTTAGAGCTGCACTTTTATGAAGACCTAAACAATGTATACCTTATTTAAGTTAATATGTTGGATTTGTAAACTAAGTAGTTTAAACTTGTTACTAAGAACTCTTATATAAGTTAGGAATGTTAACATTAACCTACAAAAACTAGGTATGCATACAAAAGTTGCCAACACATCTATTCTATAGAGTATTTTATCGTCAAGTTGGTTATATTTTTTTATGTCCATTTAAACAAAATTGATAACAAGGATTATTATTATTATAATTTGATTTTAGACAAGAATATTTTTAAATTTTTTTATTAAATTAAAAAATAGTTTGTACTTACCAGCTATTAAAGCCAATATCATAAAGAAATGCATCATTTTAAAAGTAAGATCAGACTGAATACAAATGGGAAAATTTTAACTTATGTTTAGATAATTAAATCATAATATGTGAATTAAAATATTAATAACAGAAATGGAAAAGGTTAGAGGTTACTAAAATCAATACTCTTTAAATATGCAAAACACAATAATATTATTAATAAACTTCTCTAATAATTGATGACTCTTCTCATCAAATTTAATTTTTTTAGAATATACAGGGTGTCATGTGAATATTGAAGTAGATAATTCAACGTAATATACAGTGTGGAACAGCCAAATGGAATAAATTCGGTATTAAATAAATGGAGGCGTGTTTGAAAAAACGCTCGAACAAGTCGATTGATATTTTTATTTGCGTATTTTTTAAATAATTTTTTTTTTATATATACTGGGTGTGTCATGAAACAGTGGCTAATACAAACTTTCTCATGTTAAATGTAACACCCTGTATATTTTTCAATTTTTGGATTCTTCAGAAAATTCTAGACTAATTTTATGTACTATGTATGTCCTATATCTAACTGTTCCCGAAATATTATTACAAAATTAAATTTATTGCAAAATTTAAGATTTTGAATATATCCTACATTGAGATGTTTTTTTTTGTTACATTATCAAAAAATAAACAGTATTACTTATTAGTTATTAAGTGTGTTATAACGAATTTCTGTAATCAAATAATACACAAATAGTACACAAGTAGTATACAAATAATATACAAATAGTACACATATAATACACAAGTAGTATACAAATAGTATGCAAATAGAACACAAATAGTACACAAATAGTATACAAATAGTACACAAATAGCACTCAAATAGCACACAAATAGTATACAAATAGTTCACAAATAGTACAAAAATGGTACAAAAATGGTACAAAAATATTACATAAATAGCAGTCTGATTAAGGACTCGTAACGACTGTATCTCAGAAAAAATTGATCCTACGGCTTCGAAAAAAACAATTTTTATAACAAAAACGGTAAAGAGAAAATGCTGGAAATTATTTTGAACTTTCTATTTTAACCGTTAGAGGGCGTAATTCGCTATGGTAATTCAAAAAAATCACTTTTCCCCTATAAATGTCTAATAATAGTATGATAATAATAATCGAACGGTAATTTTCATTAAATTTTACAAAAGTTTTATTCAACACTTTTTGCTCTATTCAATAAAATAACAGGTAGGGACAATTGGGAACCTTAATTTAATAAATGTATTATAACTACGGTGTCGTTTATCAGATTTTAAAAAACTTTGTATCGATTAAAAACAAATTGATTGTTTAGTAAAATATTTCAAAATAGTTCTTCAGTTGTTTAAAAGAGCACTAGGTGGCGTTGTATAAGCAGTAACCATTTTTTTGAAGTTTTCTTGAAAAATTTAAATGAAATGTTATAATTTTTATACGTTATTTAGAAAGAGAATTAAATTCTGACAAGAAACAAAAAAAAAAACGCGTCTTTTTATCTTTTTCCTAACCGAATAAAAGCAAAAGTCTATTAAGGGTGAATAGTCCACTTAAATATTAATAAATAAAGTTATTGATATATTAATGAAGTTGGCTTTGAAATGTCAGTAAGCTTAAATGTCAAATTAATTATATTTTAATAAGTTAAAAGACATCATGCCTTACAGTAATTCCGAAGCTTATGACATGTTAAAAGTATATTTTGAATGTTTTGAGAACGCCCCGGTTGCATCCAGAGAATATACGTTGAGATATCCTCAGCGAGTTTTACAAACAAGAGAAACATTTAAAAATCTGGCGATTCATTTAAAAGAAACTGGCTGTGTTCAACCTCAAAAAGCTATTCAACGACGTAGAAGAAGCAGAACGGAAATTAACGAAATAAATATATTAGCATACGTTGCTGCAAATCCCCAGATAGCACACGACGTCCAATGGACGTCCATATTTTGTCCAAATACTGTCCTGGATGTCCATGAACTTCATATGGATATTCATTGGACATCCGTTTTCCGTTATCCAATGGATATACCCATTCAGAAGTCCAATGGATGTCCAAAAAATGTCCATGATGGACACTATAAAAATGACTAACTTAAAATAAATTATTATAATTCTTCTTGTATAATTTAATTATTTACTACTAGGTTTTAATTAAAATAAATCAAATAATTTTTCTCTTCTCTCACCTCTGTTGACAAGATAGAAAAGTAAAAGGCCACTCAGGCCAGACTCGAAGAAGAAAAGAAGAATGAGGTTAAGATTGATAAGAAGAAAACACAGCCTATATGTAGCACATAGATGTTTATCTGGTAAGAAAGTAAGTATATTTATTAATTAAATCATTTAAAAATCTAAAAATTAAAAAGCAAATCGTTTGTTTTAAACTAATATAACCTATCAATTATATTTTAAACTTTATGTTTTCGATTTACATTCAAAGAATACCTTTCTTTTAGAACTTTTGTCAAATGATTTACCTACCTATTTAAGAAAATGGCTTTACTAAAAGCTAACTTACCTATATGCTGCAAATTCGAGATGATGTCAACACAATTATTATTGTAACTAAGAGGTGAGAAAACTTTCAAAGGAGAAGAAAAAAATTTAAGTTTCTATTTGTATGGCATGAGACATTAGCAGAAGATACAAATATTTTTAAAGAAGCTGTAAGTTTTACTTTTATTAAAATAGAATCGTTTTGTAACGTTTAAGAATTAATGCGTTGAAAGTGGTTGTATAAGTTATTTCTCTTTAATGTTCACAAATATATATTTTTATTGCAATTTTAGATTCAGCAGTTACCAAAACCAGGGACACGGACATGACGAACTCATAAATAGATGTTTTGTTTCCATAATTTCTAATATTCTCACAAAAGAATTCGCATAATATGATGGTATGCAAGTAAAATGCTAATTTAAGAAATAATGAGCAATTTTTTGTTTATATGTAAGTATAGAGTTAAAGTACATTAGCGAATGCATATTTTCATATTAGTTAATAACATTTTATCTAAAAGTTTTACATTTTTAACTATCAGTTTTGCCTGATCAGGCGTGTATTAAATGATTGATTTAAGACTCAATATTTGTATAAAATGTAATGTCTTTTTTTAGCTGCTGCTGAGAGTGACAATGGTGCTGCTTAAAAAGTAAGCGAAATAGCCTTAAGAAAATGACAGAGAAGGTCAATAGAAAGGAGTGCGTATAAAACTAATATATGCTTGATATTATTTATGCCAATAAAAATAAGTCCATAGTTTGCAATTATTTTATTTCATATTAATATAAGTGGTGATGTCCGTCAGATGTCCAAAAGCAATACAAAAAGAGTCCATATATTTACCTTTCATGGAGTCCAAATGGATGTCCATGAGTGGGACATTTGTATAGTCCAGTGGATGTCCATTGGATGTCCTTTGGTAAAATGCTGGACGTCCTTTGGACAACCGATATGTCCATGAATAAATTCCGATGGACATCCAATGGATTGAGTTGTGCTGTCTAGGTCCACATATAAGTATATGGAAAATTGCTTACGACTTAGGACGTACTAGGTACTGCGTTTGTTCTATTTTAAAACAAAATCGTCTTCATCCATACCATGTAGCCCTTCATCAAGGTCTGAAATTAACAGATTATGATAAAAGACTGGATTATTGTAATTGGCTTAAGAATATGCTTAATGAGGATTCACAATTTTAATCACATATAATGTGGTCCGACGAATCTACATTTTACAGTAATGGATCTGTAAACAGGCATAATATGCATTACTGGTCTGACCACAATCCTCATTGGATGCGAGAAGTTTTTAATCAAGGTCGGTGGTCAGTAAATGTGTGGTGTAGAATTTTAGACGGTAAAATTATGGGTCCTATTATTATTAATGAAAATTTAAATGGTGAGCGATATTTAAGATTACTGAGAGACGAATTGCCTATTTTATTAGAAAATATTTCACTAGAGGTACGCCGTAATATGTGGATACAGCAGGATGGCTGCCCAGCACATTATACAAATAATGTAAAATACTTTTTAAATCAACATTTTCGGAATAGGTGGATTGGAAGAGGAAGTCTATTTCCATGGCCACCAAGATCTCCCGACCTCACCGTATTAGATTTTTATTTGTGGGGTCGACTTAAAGATTTAGTTTACCAAACTCAGCCTGTAAGTACAGAAGATCTAATTCAACGAATACAAACTGAAATTGATCATATTCCTAGGGCTGAAATAGAAGCTGCTGTCAATTCAACTAGACAGAGTTGCATTGAAAAAGATGGAAAACAATTAGAGCACTACCTCTAATTCTTGTATTGCATTCTCTATTTTGTTCTGTGTTTAGTTACTTGTTTTATTGTATTTTATTAATATATTCAATGTTTATTTCGCAATTAGTTTTATTAAACCAGTAAACTTACACTAAAGAGTTAATTTAAATCCGATTTTAATATTTTTTGTCTTAATCGCTTTACAGTTAATCTATCGAAAAATTACTGACGTTTCAAAGCCACCTAGATTAAAATATCAATAATTTTATTTATTAATATTTAAGTGGACTATTCACCATTAATAGACTTTTGCTTATATTCGGTTAGGAAAAAGATAAAAAGACGAGGTTTTTTTTGTTTCTTGTCAGAATTTAATTCTCTTTCTAAATAACGTATAAAAATTATAACATTCCTTTTAAATTTTTCAAGAAAACTTCAAAAAAATGGTTACTCCTTATACAACGCCACCCAGTGCTCTTTTAAAAAACTGAATCAGAACTATTTTGAAATATTTTACTAAACAATCAATTTGTTTTTAATCGATACAAAGTTTTTTAAAATCTGATAAACGACACCGTAGTTATAATACATTTATTAAATTAAGGTTCCCAATCGCCCCTACCTGTTATTTTATTGAATAGAGCAAAAAGTGCTGAATAAAACTTTTGTAAAATTTATTCAAAATTACCGTTCGATTATTATTATCATACTATAATTAGACATTTATAGGGGAAACGTGATTTTTTTGAATTACCATAGCGAATTACTCCCTCTAACGGTTAAAATAGAAAGTTCAAAATAATTTCCAGCATTTTCTCTTGACCGTTTTTGTTATAAATTTTTTTTTTTTTCGAAGCCGTACGATCAATAGTTTCTGAGATACAGCCGCTACGAGTCCTTAATCAGACACCCTGTACACATATAATACGCAAGTAGTACACAAGTACTACACAAGTAGTACACAAATAATACACAAATAGAACATATTTAGTATACAAATAGTATACAAATAGTATACAAATAGTATACAAATAGTATACAAATAGTATACAAATAGTATACAAATAGTACACAAATAGTACACGAATAATACACAAATTGTACACAAATAGTACACATAATAATACACAAATAGTACACAAATAGTACACAAATAGTACACATAATAATACACAAATAGTACACAAATAGTACACAAATAGTACACAAATAGTACACAAATAGTACATAAATATTACAAAAATAGTACACAAATAGTACACAAATAGTA